GAATAGGATTCTGATGTTTACTTTTAACTCTTTTTATTGAGATATTCTATAAGTTTTTAATTATGCTTTTGATTTTAATTAATACTAACTTAAAAATGCAAACCTGCGAGATTTCTGATAATGTTTTGGGATTTTGCATCCATTCTATAAGTTGGCTAATGGATACTACGTAAACATCTCGTTCTTTGAGCACAGTTCCCAGAAAACTAAATTGTTAGCAGATGTAGTGATCTCCAAGTACGAGGAAAAAATTGCCTATTTTCATAAATATAATGATTGATATGATCAGTAATAGAAAAATGTAATTAGTGATCATTGCAAAAATATTAGGATTAGTTCACAACCTTTCAATAGCATTTATTGCTTCTTTACTCCCATTAAGTTGTAAAAAGTCAGCACTAAGAGTTAATAGGTAGGGTGCTCGATTCGTGTAATAAGCTCTTTCAAAATTATCCATCAACATATCGTACTGAAATTAAAATTATTTTTTTAAAATTTGAAGAATGAAAAAAAATCTTTTAGCATAAGTTAAGTTTGTTGTGACAACGCCTTGAATTTCAGAGATTTTTTCCTTGAATAATCGTCGTAAAAATGTAATCATAGCACATAATTATTTATAATCAGCTAATGATTGAATATAATAATGGATCATAAAATTCTTGAATAAAACTATACAATATATGTAGATGTTGAATTTAAATTGACAACGCTTCGAAGCATGGATGCACGTTTTGTAGATTCATTTACTTCGGAACCATAAAATACATTTATTGGTACTTCCCAAATACCGGGAAATGAACTAAAGGAACATTTAATATTATTTGTGAATTTCACTTAAATGCTATTTGTTTCGTTTCATTTTTTGTAAAAAATATTTTTTCTTATATTTATAGAACGTTTACAAAAGTTTTGGTATAGTGTTTCACTGAAGCAAATTCATGTGCTGTAAATATCAAAAAATAGCAATTTCAGAAGTTAAGCATTAATTTTACAATAGACACAATAATTGCAGTGTCGTACTTGCTTCAAGCAACTTTTAAAATGCGACATTTCACCTTTTTGGACAGTATCCATCAGAGCATGGCCATGAAATACGGTAATTAAGGGTTTGTGGCCAGTAAGGTTCTCCCTTTTCTCCAGGATCTGCTAGCAGTGTATTATCATACAGAAAATTAGCTCTTTCCATCATCTGCAATATAAAATTATGGATACTCTTCATGGATGCTCATTCAGCCAAACATTAATGCTATTTGTTTCATTGTCTCGATATACGTTCTCAATTTTATCCTCTATGAGTTTTAGGTTTTTTAACTGTGTCTTTGTTGAATACTATTTTCGAAATTATCTCACTTCAAATTGCTTATCAGCACCAGCTGCTAATCGAGGTGCGCGAATACCCTGGACATCTTCTTCTGGTATGTTCCCGAATCTCGTAAGAATTTCTCGTTCTCCTGCCATTTCTTGTAGCCATCGCTGCGTAGATTCTTCCGTAAGTCTATCATGCCTATTTGTGATTGAAAAATTATAACCAAACTTCACTGAAAACTTGAAAAATATTTTCTTTATTTCATAAAATAAGCAAATAAAGTAAGAAATTAAGTCATAGATATTTTGGAAATTATAATTAAACAAATATACGTGATGGAATTTGATGCAATTTCAAATCCTTGTCGATGCAATCGTTCTACTGCATCATAATTTGTCCATTCATGGGATACAAATATAGTCCCTTGTATCGGACAGCCATTCATATTATGAAAATTATTGTTTCCGAACAATTCCTGATAATCTCGAAGAGTGATGTCATTTATAGCATCATCAAATGTTAATATGACAAATTGTGGGATGTCTCGTGCTGGTAAATTTCCCGGTGGTTTGTTACCTTCAAAATGTTTCGTGTAAATTTGAAAACCTCTGACTAAAATTGATTCAGACTTGCAAATATTAGTTTTATTTATTAATTTTTTTGTCTAACTTTTCTGGTTCATGAGCGTTTTTTGTATTACATTTTATATATCTCACAAAATTTATCATTCGCTCAAGACACTTTCGCATAGTTTTTCGCTTAGTTTATCTACTTCGTTAAAAATTTCAATGTCATAATAATTAATTTGTTCAATATTTTGAAACGAGATTTATTTGGATTTTATTTAAACGTATGTTTGTCTTAATACAGTATAACGATGATTTCATAGAAATAATAATGCTAACCTTCCTTAGAACAGAAACAGTGTGGGAGTTGACAAAGTTCTGGATGTTCTGGTAGTGGGCATTCCATTGCAGTACCACGTTGTCCCTCACTTGAAAATGATGCAAATTTGTCACTATGTCCACTCGATTTTGCTATAATCATCATATTTTATCATATTTTATCAATACTCACAAATTTAAAAACACAAAAAAACTTTAATAATTTCTTCAAAAATTTGTTTACTCGGTTGCTATTTTCGAAAAAAATTATAATTAACTTGCAGATTTCACAATTTTAATATTCATTTTATATTAATTTCTCAAGATTTATTCTCTGTGATGTCAAAATGAAATTTTGACAAATTTACACCAAAATTTAATAATAATATTTAGATACTGCACACACTTACGTGAAGTGTCACTGTAGAAATGTTTCCTCACACATTGTCCACGTCTACAACGAGCTTCATAACCACATTCTCGATTATCATTACACTGCTTGCCAATATTACTTTTTTTTGAAATATCTAGGATACAATCAATGTTTGTAGCCAAAAGTATAAGACTTGTTTGCATATTACTTTAAAATAGACATAAATATCATTGCACGAAGCTCTAAAGAAAATTTTCCATTTTAAATAGAATTACAGCGGATTCGTTTTTATTTTCAAAGTACTATTACAGTATGTGTTGTGAATTATAACTATAGTTCGTAATGAAAAGGCTTTGATCACAATTTATACTATGTACTGTAAGTACAATTTTTGAGTAATTAATAGACGAAGAAGAAAAAAGCACCGTTGTGAACGCAAGTAGCATTGTGTATTTGATGATCAGCTCCACAAATGCATTGTTTCCGATCATGATCACAAATTGATCCGCCTAAACAAATCTCTTTGTTTGCGCAACTACCAGCTGGAGGTGAGTATAGTTGCATTGTTGTTGACGTTTGCTTGGAAGCCAATTTTTGATGATCCAAAGTAGAACTTAATAAAGGATTCTGAAACTCTAAAGTATTCGGTAAAAAAAACTTGAAATTTTGGAGATAAATATGTGAGAAATATGTGTTGGAATTATTTTAAATTTGTTGTTATTGAAAGTGTGGCAAAAACTAAGACCAAAACTGAATTAATTAACCAGTAATATGCAGTATTCTTAAAATATCTCTCTTTATCAGTAAATTTATAGCCCTAGTTGGTTGGTTAAAATTAACCCTGTTATTAGTTGATTGATTAGTAGATTCAGATTCTGCACTACAGAAGCCAAAAGCATTCAATTTTTGACCCTGAGAGCATGCACAAATCCCATTGACACACATTAAATTATGAGTACATGTATTGTAAGTTGACTTATCACAACTTTCTCCATAAGTTGGAAGTATCATAACAGCAACATCTGGAAATAGTAATTTTTATTCGTAATAAATTATAAAGATTGGATAAGTTATGGTCGTTATGGATACCATAAATTTAAAAATTTTTGGAGAAAGTGAAAACATTTTTTTTTCTGCATGACATTTGCTTTCAGAGGACAAAAGTTAGAATTAATAGTACTACTTTCGAAGTAATAATTTTTCAAATTATAACTCAGAAAATAAATTATTCACTATTTGTGCTTCCTTTTAAAGTAATTTTTGAGATAATAAAATAATTGTCAACTCTACGTACTTAATAGAGATGAAAATTTGAATGAATTGGTAATTACGTCTTGTTCACTGATTAAGCACACATTTTAAAATTTCAAATTTAGATTTAAAAAGTACTGGAATGCGTGCAAATGATTATTTTTGTCCAGATTTTATTTACCAAAAAACGTTGGAAATATTTGTTTATCAGATATTAATGCATCGTTTTAAAAAGTAAATAGAAGTACAAATTAGTTTTAAAATACTTTAAAAATAAATAATTACTTTAGAAACTGGCGAAAAAATCAAATAATACAATTTATTTCAAAAACATTTAAGCACTTCATAGTAGCTTATATAGAAGTTGGAATTCTTGCAAGAACGAGACATTTGTACAAAAAAAGCTTTTATACTTTGAAAAATATCAATAAGGCATAAAGTTAGTAGGGAAATCTCTCCATAATTAAACAATATTACTAGAAGAAAGTGTTTTGTATTTTGTTCAAAATTTTAGAAATACAAAACTTTATAAATTCTTATAATTTCTGATAAATCTTGTTGCACAAAACATGTTCTTTCTGATAAATCTTGTTGCACAAAACATGTTCTTTCTGATAAATCTTGTTGCACAAAACATGTTCTTGTTTGTACTGTAAGAGTATAAATAAATAAAATATTCAGGCTTTGCAGCAATTATATTCCTGATCAGCATGGGCAGTTATAAAACAGTACGATTGAGGTGGACAAAATGGCTTTTTCTCATCACAGACAAATAAGTAGTTGGTATTTTGTTCTCGAACGATAGTATTTCCCGCCGGACAAATACCGGCACCAGGTCGAGTTTTATAGCTTTTTTTAGGACTTGCTTGAAGATATGGCTTGCGTAGTGGTGGTCCAGTGATCCGAGGTTGATCCCGAGAACGAATAGTAGAAGCAGTGGAGTAATCAGTAGTAGCACTAGCAGTAATATTTTGCTGTACTTGGGTTGTGAGTGCACTTCCGGAAAAGTTTTGCTCTGTTGAAGCTAGGGTAGAAACTTCGAAATTTGAAGATAAAAATTGAGGCCTGTTAATTGTTGCTTCCAGTTCTACAAGAATTGATAATTGAAATGCAATTTTTGATAATGATTCGATTCGCTAGTTAAACTGACAACATCTTTCAGCTACCGAAGCAACTTACTAGATTAGTGCTTTTTAATTTCAACAATTTACTGTATCTTTTGACAAAATGATTGAAATTTTCAAAATTAAGATCATCTCAAATTTAAACAATTCCACATCGAAAAAGTTTTGATAAAGTATTAACAAGTTTCTCTCTTATGTTATTATTCATAAATTCAAAATTCGTTTATATTTTCAACCTATCCTTTCAGCATCGAGATCTTGAAATGAATAATTAATTTAAAATTATTCAATTCTTATGAATTAAAAATAATTTCAACGAAAAAAAATTAGGTCAGGTTACTTGAAAAAAAATACATTTCATGCAAAGTAGTCTTTACCATTCGTTCTTTTTTTCAAATTAATTAATAATTTCAAGATTATATCTTGATTTTCTTATAGCCTTTTGTTTTCAACTGAACAAATATTTCATTCGTATTTCAATAAATAAAAAACAAAGTCAAAACTTCAATTGCTATTATACTTATTACGTATTTTGTTCACAATATGAATGATGGTTATTTTTAAGCGATATTAAATTTTACAGTATCACTGAAAGTGATTGATAAGACTTAAAGTGACTAACTTAATTTTTGCATGGTTATGCAAGATCTAAGTTACAAAGAAAACAGGTAAGATATGAGATATGGAAGCAAAGTATGCAAGAAGCATGTGATAACATCTGAAAAAAGTGAAAATAAGTAATAATTAATTTTGGATACACTTCTGAATCAAAAGAATAGAAATGAAAAATATCGAGTAGAAAATTCAAAAATAACTCGTAAATGAAAATTGTAATAGACTTTTTAAATATAAACAAGTTGGATGATCAGTACTGATTGCAAATCCAGAGAATCATGAAAACTCAGCTTGCAATAACTTTTCCAGAAATTTAAATTTAAATTTAAACAAAATTGTCCTGCAAACTTAGCGAAAGAACTTTCGTAAAGTGTTAATAATACCAAAAGAAATTTAAGGATTGGTAATAATGAAAATAATCCATTTTCGTTTTATAAAAGCTTTTAGATTAAACGAACTTTGAGAAAAAAATTCTTTCACTAATTTTTTTTCAATAGAAAAGGGTTAATTTAACTTTCTCATTTTTAGATAAAATTGCTAACCATTTGATTGTATACAGATTCCGTTTCGTTCTGTGAATCCCAACTTGCATATACACTTATTATCAACACAAGTATGATTCAAATTACAATGCGCATCATCGTTGCATACAGATTCTGGTACTGAAATTATGGTTGTTAAAATAAAGTTCATCTGGGAATATTTTACAATAAAATCACAAAGTTATTCTGCGATTATCTTTCACGGAATTTTGCTTTGTGACCATTTTAATATACTAACTACCATTGATAATATTTTTAATTTTAGTGCCAAAACTTTATTTCCTAACGTAACTTATACTTTAATTTTGCATCTAACAAAATGTGATTTTTTTAATGTCTGAAATACAGTAATTCTGTTTATTGTAGTTGTGAGCAGGAAATAACCATTTTCAGTCTTGTCATCATTTGCAGTTGTTTTTTGGCACTTTGAATTTTGAGGAGAGAATTCAAAACCAGAAGGGCAAAGGCATGAACCTTCAATACATACTGCTCCATTGGTGCATGGATCCAACGGACCTCAAAAAACTTATAAAAAATCGCGTTATTTTATGATTTACAAATGTAATAATTTGACATGACAATATAGACAATTAGCCTGAAATAATTCGAAGGATTCTATTACAAACAAGGTACTGATAATGAGATTATCACCAAGAAACTTTTACTGCAACTAATCAAAACATTTTCTATGAATTTTTGTCATTAATTTAAGGCCTAGTCTACTAATTAGATATTTGCATTAAAAAATTGCAATAATTATGTTTATGAAGTCAATAATTGTTGTATTAGTATTGTAAAATGATAAATTTTTACAATATTGCAGCAAGTTTAGTTAGTTCGACTTAATAAGTAACAATGAAAAAAATGCTAGAAGATACGGTTTTCATAAAAATTAAATAAATTTGTCGTTGAAAAATAGATTAGAAAAATGTTTTACTTCAATTATAGGAAAATAAAATTAAACTTTTTTTCGGTTGAGGCGGATTTTAATGATTTTTTGAAGAAATAAACTTTGAATTATTAAAAATTAATTTTTACTAAAATACAGTTTCTTTTGCTGATCTACATTAATACCACTCACCACACTTATATTTAAATGGTACCAATATTGTCTGACTTGGTTGAATTGTGGATGTCGAGAAACTTTGCGTAGTCTTCTCCTTGAAATAGCTACTTTCTCTTCTTTTTTAAAAAGAATTTTTAGAGCATTGAAAATTAATTTTAAGAAACATTACTGAGTACGACATTTTTGTTTTTTTTTAAATTGCCTCTAGAAATAAAAATTATTCAAATCTTATCTTTTGATCTCAGATTCAACAATGATTATAATTATAATACTAATATTAACAATGATTACAGTTAGGACATAAATATTAATAGTAGTAATATAACAGTAACAACCATAAAACTACCAAATTTTTGCTTATGAAATTTTAGTAATTTACGATTTTCATTTATATAAGTAACTATAGAAATTTGAACCTTCACTTATTTTTTGTCGGATGTTTAAAGGTATTTCAGTTTAATTTAAAAAGTTTTCAATTTGTCGCTAAACAAGACTTTTCAGTATTTTGAATTTTATTTTTTCACTTTTTTCAAATTAAAATTTTCTATTCGTCAATGAATCAATGTCTCTCTATCACTAATAATTTAGACTAACTTGAAGCAATATAATAACCATAGCTTACAAATAATAGATATTTAATAGTTATGCGAAAACTCTACAAATTTTTCTTAAATACTGAGTTATAGCAATAAATCCATCAGTCACTGCTTAATGATTTAAAAAATTAAATCAAATTTAATTTAAAAATAATCAAACTAACGTCTGCTTTGAAAGTTAATGTAGGTGTCAACTTTATGCAAATACCATCAATGATTGTCATTGAAGCTTCTGGACAGATACACCAGCCATCTTTACAGATGGAACCACCGCTACAAACTTTACTATTTAAGCAATTTCCACCTGGTGGAATTTCAAGGAGTTCTGTACCTACAAATTTAAACTTATACGTTATAAATGTAAAGATTATTAATATTTAAGATTACCTTTGAAGACTATTGATAACCATAGCATATTTATGTTTCCTACTTTTTTTAATATTCAACTAATAGCTCCCGAACTGAGATTATACTAACATTCCGATTAAGCAATGCATTGTTTTCTGGAACCAAAAAATTAAGTTTAGTCGAATTTTGCATTGCACAAAATAATATCTAAAAATGTTGCAAAAGTTGCAGAAATTATTTTCAAACAAGTCAAATTAATAATATCCACAATTGTAATATTATAGTGAGTAAAAAGTTAACTCGTTTATTAGCATAGTGAATATTATGCAAATTGCTTAATTCCACTCTGTGCAGTTAAAAGCTCAAAATTGAAGAAGAATTGTGTTTTTTGAGGGTAAATGTGTTATAATAAAATTAAAAAATCATGCAAAATAATTATGAATTGTTATTAAAAAATATTTATTTTTTCGCTAACACTGAAAAGTTTGGCGCTTATTAAAGAATTTTATAAAAATGCAAATTAACTTAGCCTCAACTTCGAATTGTTACAGTCAAGTACAAACCTTGATCTGAACAATTTGCTTCATTCTTGCAAATTGTCATCATCTTTCCACTGGTATGCTTTTTGTAGGTATTTGTTGTTGCGATAAAATAATTTGATGCAGTTTTGCTTACCTGCCTTTTTATCATTTTTTCTGATCGCTGAGAACTCTCAGTACATTTTTTTGTATTTTTTTCAAAAAACATTCCATATTTGCATTCACACCACCCATTAATACATTCCATTTTATTGTCACAAATTCGCAATGGAAGTCGCAAATGTTGTAAATAATTTACTGCCTCAATATTATGACTACAAGATTGTCCAAATTGTGCAAAATACTTTTTAGGCTTACATTTTCCATTGCTTAATACTGTATTTGACCTACATTGACATAATCCGTCAATACAATATGCATTGTAAGCGCAAATATCTTCCATTTCTGAACAACGCGCATATGGTGCACGGAAAGCTCTGCATGTTTTATTCACAGCTATGAAACCTACTTTGCATATGCAAATTTTTCCATGACAATCTGAATTTTGAGGGCATTTTTGATTGCACAATGTTGCTGACGATAAATTGGAAATTGGTTTTGATACGGTAATATTTGCATTTGACGCAATTGTATTCATAAGAGTCTGTAAGTCTCCTTTTTTCTTGACATTATTCGTCAAAATTTTATTTCCGAATACTAATGTTCCTTGTTTTGAAAATCGTTTATTAAGGGACTGCTTTCCATTAGGTAATGGTATGATTTCATTTTGAGGTATGCAGTCAATAGATTTAGTAATACTGCCATCAATGCATACACAGTAACCACCACTACAGTATCCAGAGTGATGACATTTTTGATTTCTGTTACAGTTAAGAGAATAGTGTGATGGCTGCAATTGATGTGGAATACATGTGCCTTGAAACAATAATTCACCAGGTGCACAAAAGCAAGAGCTTGTTTTAGACTCACAACGGAAAGTAGGATTACAAAGTGGATCAGTCGAACAGTCTTCATTAACTTGTGATACCTTATAACACTCTCCTGATTGTTCAACAAATCCATCAGCACATTTGCACAGAGAATTTTGACAGTAAGTACTAATAGGACAGTCAGTATTATGTAAGCAGAATCCTCCAACAGAAGCAGAAGCCTCTTCCTGCATTATTGGCATACAAAATCCATATATTGAAGTATATCCTGAACTACACACGCAAAGCATATTATCGCTACAGAAGGCTCCTTGTACACAGAATCCACTTAAAGTGCAGCCTTGACCCGGCAGACCAGACTTTGGTTTTGTATATGGTATCGCTTGAACAGTTGAATCTACTATTGCATTGTCAGACTTTGTTTTTGCTGATACTTCTAAGTTTTCTGATAATCGTTGTTTCCATGAAGCAGCAATTCCATCTGATGTATACAAACTTTTGCATTGTCCATTTTCATCGATAAACTCATTAGCCGTACAGGCACAGTACCCAGCAATACATTTGGAATTTCCGATACAAATTTCTCCTCTTTGACAGCTTTCAGTTATTTTAGCGAAATTTTTATGATATGCCACCATTTCTTTTTGTAAAATACCACATTCTAAACCCATACTAATTAATCCCCCAGTGCATATGCAAATTCCTTGCAAACATAGCGATTCACCCACACACTCTCGAGAAGTATCACATTTTTGACCCGGATATGCCACATGATTTACAGCTTTACACGTGTAACCAGTATTTGTCTCATTACTCTTGCATCGACAAACACCACGTTTACACTTAGTCCACGCAGTACAATGCTCATTGCTACGGCAAATTGTAATTTCTACATGATAATCTGAAACTTTTATTCGATTCTGAAAAATATTACTGCAAATTTTTACACAACGTTTCTTTCGTGTATTTGATTGTATATTCGAACAATTAGTCAGCCATCAAAGAGTGTACAGAATCTCCCAATCTTCTATTGATTATTTCTCCTACTCGTTAATTAATTTTGCTAATAAATATATGTAAATACTTGAAAAACAGGTGAATTGTTTAGAAAGATTCATTTAATCATAACTCTTCACATAATGGAAAGTTAGTGCGGGGTGACATGAATGACTATTCTTTCGTTCTACAGCAGAATTATTGCAATTTCGAATTTGAAATTTAAACTTTTATATACATTCATTTTGCAGCAAAAGTGGACATTGAATTAATTATGATGGACAATGAACCAATCACACGCAATAACTCCATGCGGATTAGTTTTTTCTCGAAAGTTTATTTTATAAATGAGCAAAAGTAAGCAAACTAGAACTAGTACGTAACTCAAAACGTAAGAAAAAAAAAACAAATATTCATCAGTAATTTAAAATAAATATTCATTATCAAATGCATGCTTGTTCTATTCGTTCATGTGCGTGGAGCATAATCTTTGACTACCTCTAGAATTTGCTACTTACATTTATTAACATTTATTAACATTTATTTTTATTCAATCATTCTTTTCTGAATTTTAAAAATAAGACAATTTTTAGCGAACTGTTGAGTGCTGTGGGAATAAATGCAGATTAATTCTGTATGAAAATTAAGCATGAATTTTTTCAAGGAAGCAAATTAGAATATATGAAATGGAAACCGCGTGAAAAGTGAATTGATAGCATTATTAAACGAATTAATTTATAAACAAACGGTCTAGTAAAGAAGTGCTTAGAAAATAAAATTTTTTTAAATACAAGCTTGAAAAGTGTAATTTGAATTTTATTATAAACATATATTTTATTGAACTTCTGCGATATGCATTGCTTTATTAAATTTCTTGGTTTTTGTAGCACACTTCTTTAGATATCCGACTATTCTAAGACGTAATGGCGAAAAAGACTGTTCTCAAAGTTTTGAATTTCTCTTAGTAATGAATCTGGTATTAATATTTCTTATTATGTTTACCTCATTTACGCTAAAATGTTAAAAATGTATTTGAAAGCTTTACTTACTTTAGAATGAAAATAAACATCAAAAATATCATATCATTTTGGTATTTGTTCGAAACGAGCAAATATTTTATGCAAAAGGCAAATTAAGATAATTTGCCAAAAGGCAAATTAAGACAATTTTTATGCAAAAGGCAAATTTCCAAAAACAAAGATAATTTGCCTTTTGCATAAAAAAGGCAAATTATCTTTTTAAAAAATGAATGCGATTTAATGTTCATCTTAGATCTGTTGAAAAAAATAAAACACCGAGACCAAAGTTTTTAGAATATTTTATCAGACAGTTTACATGTAAAGCCTGAATTTAACTGTTATTTTATAGAATTAATTAGTAGAGATTAAAATCAATTTAATAAATAAATTTGTTCTCCTTTTTTAATGAAAGTTTGGTATAAAAATTTATTAAATTAAACACGACGTCATTTAAGCGAAAATTCAGATGTTTTTGAAAATAAAAAACCTGGTTTGCAAGTTTGTTCTTCAGAAATTAGACCATGCGGACATATGCATTGACCTGAAGAACATTTAGCCTGAGGATACGCAACTGAGCACTGTTCATCATACTGACAACCATTCCGACCTGGATAAATCACTGAAATATTCATACTTTATTATAACAAATCAATACTAAACTCTATTAACTTATATGACCACTAATGACACTATTGGTTGTCATTAAGAATTAAGGCGGAAGATTTACTTACAGAGTGATCCCTTGGTTACTTTTGCGTTTTTAATTACTCATTTACTCTTACTTTAAATGAATTCCGATGTGCATAATATGAACGCGATTTGATTCGAGTAAATTTACCTTTTTTACAAAAACCATTGATGTTGACATGAGTAGATAAACACTGGCAGGTAGGTGGACTACTGTCACCTCTACAGTATGCTCCAACAACACAATCAGTATTAGCTTGACACGGTACCCCAACAGTAGCTTGCTGCAGCCTATCTAATTTTATAAGTAATCCAGACGTGACGGGGAATTTTTGTGTTTTTGTTGTTAAGTTCCTACTTAACTGACCTTCTGATAGCATTCGATAATTTATAACTTGATTATTTGTGCCTGCAAAATAGATAATGATGTTCTTTACTACATATTAGATAAACTTATTATTATTATTATTATTATTGATGTCATAAATTCGAAATTTTTTGAACTCTGATAATATTTAAGATTTGTTTTAGAAATTTGAAGATTGTTATTACGCAGGAAATATAGATTACCTGAAGCTACTGGAAGACAAGAATGTTCTTGAAGAATGAAATTTTCTGGACAAACACATATAGGAATGCCTGGATGGCAGATTGAACCACGAGTGCACACCTGCCCATTGTTACACATTTCACCAGGACCTACCATGAATATTTCTTTGAATTTTTACGGAATTTCAATAAGCAATAGAAAAAGAGTAAACGCACGTAAAATTAATATAATTTTCGATGATAATTAATACGCAATTTAAAACTATTTAAAAATGTAACTGACCAACTTCGACAGTTATTCTTTTCACTACACAGCGGTTATTTTCTTGAACAAATGGGTGCTGACATTTGCATGTGCCATTGGTGCATTTCAAACCACTTAAGCATTGCTCTGTATTTTGGCATTTTGTACCCAAGTAGCCTAAAGGTATGACAATTTTTGGTTCCAACTTTCTTTCCCGCATTAAAGAAAATGAATTTGGTGTAATTTAAGTGAAAAAGTAACAAATTTCTAGCAATATTCAACATTTGTGATTTTTGCATACGTATTATATTTTCTGTATTTATAAAAGAGCCTTGAATTTTTCTTACACAGAAATATTGGATTAAACACGTAAATAAGTCAATCTTCGATTTTGGAAAGTGAAAAAAATTGTTTCAAAATTTCGTTTAATTGCTGTTAAAAATTTATGAAGTTAGTTCTTATCGCGAGATTATTAAGCAAATTTATGAATTTAAGCACTGTGAGCTTTACTTGGAAAGTTTTCACTTGTTATGCAAAGCTTTTCTTTTTATTCCAATGCTTTTTAATAAATGTCAATTCTGCATGTATTCTATTAGTTTAAAGAATACTGAAATTTATATACTCAAGACTCTTTCCATGTATTTTTTAAGTTTTCTTACCTGTAGTGGAAAAGTTCATCTTACGTTGTTGACATTGACCTTGCAAATCTATCGTATCATCAGGACAAAGGCATACTTTCATCGGGAGAGCACAGAATGAACCACCACCACACAACTCGTTGTTTGAACAGCTACTTCCAGGTGACACTTGACCTGTAATTTTACTTATTGTAAATATAAATAAACTCTTTCAGTTGCTTTCTTTTGTAATGCAATCATTTTAAATTCTTTGCTCGGAAATTTTTTTTCGGCTATTTTGACCAATATTCGACAAAAAAATTAACGAAAATTAAAAAACGCGCGAAATGAAAAAAGAAGTGCTACTAACTACGAAATTCGTTTCCTTCGAGCACTACATTATTGTTGTGTCCATCTTGCGAATATCTGCTCAAATCCTTAATTGAAAAACTTACAAACCTTTATTAATATGAAAATTATCCTCGAAATAGTTTTCTTCTGTGTAACTAAACTTGCATCTTTTTGTAGCTTAGCTTAAGTCTTTCTGAATGATTAAAATAATTAAAAATCATTAATTAGCAAATTTAGTAATTTCCGTTTTAAATATGTAAACTAATTTTAATAGATTAACCATTAATATCCTCAAAAATATGTAAATTTACTGCTTATTACAGAACAAAAGCATTTTTTGAATGACAAGTAAATTTTGAATCGAAATTTAATGTAGCACTTTATAATGTTTTTTTTTTGTTCAAAATTACTACTACAGAAATTTGTTTTGTATACCATTCGATTATTTTTGAATTTTCTTGCTTAAATATTGAGTGAGAATTTTAGTATAGATTGAAATGTTAGTTGAAAGGTCACGAAACTTACCACCGGTTGAAATGGTCTTAGTGAAAAACTGATAGGAGTGCAAGAAAAACTAGTGAGGTTAATGAATGTGCCAGCCGGACAAAGGCATATTTTGACCTTTGGATTACAAACTGTCCCACCAATACATATTTCACCCCTTGCGCAACTATTGTTGAAAATTGCTGAAAACAAGAAAAAAATCATTTAATTTGTTGCAGATATAATAAAAGATCTCCTGAAAATATTTGACCAACAAGTATGCAAATAGCGCTTTCAAGAAAAAATTAGTTATTGCCATTATTTTTGTAATAACAAAAAATTTGACCTTTGGAATAATTACCAAGCCAATAAGTTCAAGTAGCTTACAATGGTTGAATGAATTTTTCATTTTCATTTTTTTACTTAGTCTAGCTACAATAAAATTAACAATCTTAAGTTACGACATCAATTTGTTAAAACGGCACTTCGAGTAAGTAAAAAATTGTTCGATATTAAATTTTAAAACCGGATGAACATTGAAATTTCATATGGATAGCACCCATCTGAATACAATTAATTATATTATTGCAAAGCATTCAGTAATACTTGGACAGATATTTGAATTGGCATCAACATCATATTAAAATTGATTTTGTCAATAAATTCAAAAAATATTTGCATTACCAAAAAAATTATTCTCTTGATGGAGAATGGGCTGGGACATATCAAAGCATTGCTTTTCTTGTCTGTGAAATATTTGGCCAGGCAAGCAAGATTCTAACTTCCAAACACCTAATACTCTACAAAATAAATCAGCAAAAGTTATTATTACTTTGGCATTTTTGCAGATGAAATTTTCGGTTTTACAATATTTACTTCTGATTTTTTAGATTGAGAATTTCGAGTTTTACTTCAAATTTGAACTGATTAGCATAGAACTGACCCAAAGCCAACCGATACACAACGCAAATACGAATTAGAATTGTTAGGATTTTGGACAAAGTCGAGATTTCGCGTCACATCACAAGGCTCGTCAAGATTAACTTTAATTTCTGCTGCTCCTAAATGAAAATTTTCACTTAAATACATAATAATTGTCAGTATTTATTCTTTTTCAAGCATATTATGTCTTTTGACTTTTTATCAGTTGTAACCGAATTTCCATCTCATTAGGATTACCTTTTCACCAAATGCTTAAGCTCAGAAAAAAGGAAATATCAGTTATAGTCATTTGTTATAAAAATGGCCATTGGTATTCAGAAAAGTTTTATGTTATCAAAACATTCAATTTTCTATTAAGGCTTTTATGCTCTGTTGAAGAAAAGTTATCGCTTTCATGAAAATATTCACTAAAAATTGAATTTCAGCAACACTCATCTATTCACTGCTCCATTCAAATTTATTTTACATTTGAATAAAGTTTGGGATAATGCTTTCTGAACCAAATATATTCAATTGTCTGCTAACTTTTTTTTAAAAATTTACTCGTCGGTAGAAATCAAATCTAAGCTTACTTTTAATGAGCATTAAAAGTCCTTTAGAAACCTAAAATACATTACTTCAAAGTTAAGTCAAAGGATTAAAATGGCCAACAAAACTTACGTACATAACTATAAGTATGTAAAGCTTTTTCAAGTACACAGTTTTAATTAGTGCATTACTTTAAAAAAGTATCACTTAATGTCCATATTTTTTGGAAATATCCAATTTCCTTTTACGATTATTTATTATAAACTTTGTAATAATTGGCCTTTGTTAATTTTAATAGTATAATTTTTAAATTAATTATTTATGCGACATTTAAGTTTGAAAACTGTAAAATATAACAATTATTTACTCAAGTATTCCAAAATATAATATCGTAATTATTTATTATTCATTTTTATATTTATAAAACTGAAAAGAAAAGCATACCAATTTCCAAAAACAAACATAATTTTGAGAAGGTAATAAATAAAAAAGGACGTAATGATAACATATGTAATTGTTGTTGTCTTGCTGTAATAATTTTCTTTGACCACAAAAATTTTCGCTCCAAGCAAAAACTATGTTCTGAAACGAATAATTAAGTCAATAAGCAGTACGAAATTTGATTAAATTTTGAGTGTTAACAATGAATTTAAGAGCTCATTTATGTTCATAAACATTTGAGGAGATTTTAAAAAAAGCTAAAGTTAATATAAATTATCAGTAGTCACAATTAATTAGTAAAGTTATTAATAAACTGTATTTTCTGGTAATAATGCACAAATAATTTATTTAAAAGATAAATTTTGTTTTTGTCTCATTTATTACATATATGATCTAAAAATTAATCGAAATGCAAATTTCTGCAGGCAGGATACTACAAGTTTTAGGATCTTATTTTTGACATTATAAATTCACATTTAAATTATCAGATATTAACTGAATATTTATAACATCAGTTATTAACTGAATGTCATCAAAACTCATTACTTTTTCACAGCTTAGAATATGACAAATTGAAATTCATAAAGTACTAATTTAAGCAAAATGCTTGAAAAAGAAATGCACATTTTAGAAATGAATTGAAGTATGTAGTAAAGCTGAACTATCCACTCAATGGTCAATCTTAAATAAGTAATCAGAGTGATACTTTCAAGATTTTCAGTAAATAAATCCTACTGAGAGAGAAGGGGACGAATTTATTCGCAAACTACTCATTGTATACTTTTTGAAGAATCTAGTTCGAGTGGTCAGTTTTATCGCATAAGAATTTTTATTCATTTGTGCCATTTTTTAAATATAACTAATTAAGTTTAGCACACTTTTTCCTCAAAAACTGCAGAATGTTTTTTTTATTCCAAAATTTATTAAGTTTGCACAAATATAAATTATTCTATTCTTTTTTTATCTGTAAGGCTTTCTGTATACATTGTAAGTAATTGTATTCAATATTCAAATACAAATATTTCACTTTATGCTGTTTGGAAAGTCATGACTAAGTGACTGCACTGAAAATATTGCAACTAATATAATAATTATTTATACTCAAAATACCTCTATAAAATTCCATGAAAAAATACTGAAAAAATAATTGAATTATTATTTAAAACTTAAAATTGAAATGGTACAAAAATGCACAGCGAACAACTATTCAAAATAAAATTTATAAACCGATCTCTAACTCTATTGTATTTATTTACTTCACGTTTTTAAAAAATTAAAAGTGTTGTTTTCAGAAAAAGTTATTTACAAGTCATAATTTGCATGAAGCACATAGTTAAATTGAGCTGAAATTAGAATACCATCAAGTTATAGTTTTAAAAAATAATGATTACTACTATTACTTACGATGTTTTCAGTGTGATGTTATGTAATGTTATTTTCATGTAAAGGATTGGACAGACTTTTTTCATGTTTCACCTATATTTTAGTTCTACTGAAAACTTAGTTTTCTTGTAAAAGCTACTTTATACTTATAAAATTATTTAAGATTATTTTAGATATTTAGTTATGTTTAATTCTTGCAAAGCAATTGCCTATTAATCAAAAATTAGCTTTTGCTTTTAATGGATTGATCCAGAATCAGATTTATGATTTTTTTACCATTTTATTGCCTAGTTTAGCGATCAGTGAAGTAATTTACTCTTCCTATTACATGCTAATGACATAAAATAGTGAAAATGAATAGCCGATTATGTAATCGGCTATTCATTTTAATAAAATAAGTGACAGATGCTACTTTAATAGTTTCAACTTAATAATTTTATTATCAAAGTAATGTAAGAAATTAAAGACAGCACACTTCCTTTCAATGATCTCATCCTGAACTTGAGTCAGTTTGAAAATTGAAAAATTTTATTTATAATAATTTTTTTTAATTATGCAATAAAAAACGTAATCATATCAATTTAGTACATAATAATTAACGATACAAACAGTTTATTAAAGAAATGCAATTAAGGAATAACAAAAAATTTTAATTTTCACAATAATTTAGCTTGATTTACTGTAAAAATTATTTTCGACTGTTCATGAAACGTAAATATTTTTCGAAACAAAAATTCGTACTTTTGTACTAACAGTTACTTAGTCTAACATAAAAAGTAAACTGATTTTTTTATTGCAAAATTTGCCAATTTTTATTTTATTTCTATTAACTATGAGTAGATAACTGGAATTACTGCAAAAATTTTTTTATAAATCAGTTTTTCTATCGCAGAAAAACTTCTGAGATGTTTACCATCGAAAATAAGACTGGTTTATCTTGAAAAATAGATCAAACTAGTTCAGCCTTAATAATCAGCACAAATAAGTGATACAGTTTGTTGTGAAAATAATTTG